GTGTGTGTGTGTGTGTGTGTGTGTGTGTGTATATGTGTATATATATATAGTGTGTGTGTATTGTCTTTGTGTGTGTATATATATATATATTGTGTATATATATCCAGCTCGGTATATCTTCAGCTGTGTTTATCTACAGCTTCATATATCTACATCTCTTTGTATCTACCTCTGTGCATATCTCCAGGTCTGCATATCTCCATCTTTGAAGAGCTCCAGCTTCATATATCTACCTGTATATATATGTCCAGGTCAGTATATCTTCAGCTCTGTATATATCTAGCTTCATATATCTTCATCTCTATGTATCTACCTCTCTGAATATCTCCAGCTCTGAATATCTCCAGGTGTAAATATTTCCATCTATCAATATTTCCACCTCTGAATATCTCCAGCTATTAATATCTTCACCTCGGAATATCTCCAACTCTGTATAGCTCCAGCTCTGAATAACTGCAGCGCTCAATATCTCCAGCTTTATATGTCTAGCTGTCTATATATTTGCACCTCTGCATGTGTCCACCTTCATAGATCTACATCTCTATATCTGTACCTCGCTGAATATCTCCAGCTTTGAAGAACTGCAGCTTCATATGTCGACATGTCTATATATGTCCAGATCTAGGTATCTCCTGATTCATATGCCTACATCTCTATATATGTCCAGCTCTGAATATCTCCAGCTTCATATATGTACATCTCTAGATTTCTCCAGCTCTACATATCTGCAGATTCATACCTCTACCTATTTATATATCGACCTCTCTGAATATCTCCAGCTCTGCATATCTCAAGGTCTAAATATCTTCAGCTCTGAATATCTCCAGCTCTGAATAGCTCCAGCTTTCTGTATCTACCTGTCTATATATCTCCAGCTCTGCACGTCTCCAGCTTCATAGATCTACATCTCTATATATTTACCTCTCTGAATATCTCCAGCTTCATATAGCCACCTGTATAGATATATCCAGCTCTGTCTATTTTCAGCTCTGCATATGTCCAGCTTGAAATATCGACATCTCTATATATCGACTTCTCTGAATATGTCCAGCTCTGAATATCTCCTGTTCTAAATCCTTCCAGCTATCAATATCTCCAGCTCTCAATATCTTGAGCTCTGCATTTCTCCGGATATGAATATCTCCAGCTTTATGTGTCTACCTGTCTATATATTTCCACCTCTTCATATCTCCAGCTTCATAGATCTACATCTCTATATATTTACCTCTCTGAATATCTCCAGCTTCATATAGCCACCTGTATATATATATCCAGCTCTGTCTATTTTCAGCTCTGCATATGTCCAGCTTGAAATATCGACATCTCTATATATCGACTTCTCTGAATATGTCCAGCTCTGAATATCTCCTGTTCTAAATCCTTCCAGCTATCAATATCTCCAGCTCTCAATATCTTGAGCTCTGCATTTCTCCGGATATGAATATCTCCAGCTTTATGTGTCTACCTGTCTATATATTTCCACCTCTTCATATCTCCAGCTTCATAGATCTACATCTCTATATCTGTACCTCGCTGAATATCTCCATTTTTGAATAACTCCAGCTTCTTATGTAGACATCTCTATATATGTCCAATTCTCGGTATCTCCTGATTCAGCTGCCTACATCTCTGAATATCTCCAGCTCTGAATATCTCCAGCTCTGAATATCTCCAGCTCTGAATATCTCCAGCTCTGAATATCTCCAGCTCTGAATATCTCCAGCTCTGAATATCTCCAGCTCTGAATATCTCCAGCTCTGAATATCTCCAGCTCTGAATATCTCCAGCTCTGAATATCTCCAGCTCTGAATATCTCCAGCTCTGAATATCTCCAGCTCTGAATATCTCCAGCTCTGAATATCTCCAGCTCTGAATATCTCCAGCTTCATATATGTACATCTCTAGATTCCTCCAGCTCTACATATCTCCAGATTCATACCTCTACCTATTTATATATCGACCTCTCTGAATATCTCCAGCTCTGCATATCTCAAGGTCTAAATATCTCCAGCTCTGAATAGCTCCAGCTTTCTGTATCTACCTGTCTATATATCTCCAGCTCTGCACATCTCCAGCTTCATAGATCTACATCTCTATATATCTACTTTCCTGAATATCTCCAGGTGTAAATATCTGGAGCTCTGAAGAGATCCAGCTTCATATATAGAGAGCTGTATATCTATCTATATGCAGCTCAGTATATCTTCAGCTCTGTATAGCTCCAGCTTCATATATCTACATGTCTACATATGTCGAGCTCTATATACCTCCAGATTCATCTCTCTAAATCTCTATGTATCTACCGCTCCGTATATCTGTATATATATTGTAGGGGGATTTAGGAACTTTTTGATTCGACTGGCGTGTTGCGGGACCTGTGGAAAATTGTGTGGGGATTGGGTAAAAGTCGGCCTACGCGGATGTGGTGTGTGAGGGAAATGGCGTGGGCATTTGGAAAGCTTTCTTGACGGCACGTGATGGCTTTTGCGTGGGAAAGTGGTCATTTTGTGTGGGGATTGATTTCAGCACTCTTCATGGGAATGTGCTGGGCCGGCCCCCGGGCGTCATTTCCTCGACTGCGGTGCGGTAAGCGGTGCGTGCGTTTTCATTCCCGTGAAAGTGTCTGACGAGGGTCTGCCCTTTCCCGCAGGCTCCTCCTCGTGCCCCCGTCCTTGGAGCCAGCGTCTCAGCGAGGGGCCGCAGCGTGACAGGAGCGGGACATGGGGCAGAAGGGCCCCCGGGACGTGTCGTGTCGTGTGGCGTCTGCAAGGGTCACTCTGGGCAGTCCGAGGTGTGTGCGGGGCCTGCAGCCGTCCCTTGGAAGCAGCCAAGGCCCCACGGGCGACAGGTGAGTAGGTCTTTCTGCTTTGACACGCTCAGCGGACGCTCAGCTTCTGCCTGGATGCACATCACCACGTAGCCTGCTCCAGCGCTAACACATCCAGTCATGCCAGCTCTTGCCTCTACTGCTGGCAGCACCCTCCCAAAACAATGAGCTGCACGTGGGCTGTGTGGTGGGAGAAACCTCGCTAAGGTTCGTTGTCTAGCTGTAATTTGATAGACAGACAATGCGGGTAAAGACAGACAGCTGTTTATTTGCTCGAGCAAAGACCATAAAGCCAGCAAAAGGCAAAATGGCCCCCCCCTAAGGGTGAGGTGATCTTTTATACTTATTACAACAAGGCAAGACTTCATGGTTAACCATAAAAGCAATACTTGGGCGGTGCTTTTCAAATTTTTGTAACAGCATATTTCTATTAAGCTGAACTAGCACTTTTTTAAAAGCTAAAAGTTAAGTAACAGTAACATTATAATATGTTAGCAAAACCTTACACAGTAGTAGATACTTCTCAAGGACACAACCACTGTATCCAGAACAATGGTTTCCCTGTCTTATCTTACTTCTTGCTGTAGCTGATTTTTCAGCACACAGACACAGATCCACTTTTTAACTCAGAAAATGCTTAATACAGTTAAAATGATTACTTGACACAAGCAAAGGCTTAGCTATTATTCTGTCTTGTGGTCAGCTGCGTTGCTAGGCCACAGGTCATGCCTTGTATTCAGCTGTAAAGCTAATAATTCTTAATAATCTAAATTATTGTAAACCTAACAGTATGCTTATCAGAAAACTATTCTGTTTCAGGGTAATAACAAACCTGCGCACTACAAATTTATAAGACGTATCTACAAGTCCGATTTTGGTGGCACGCTCACCCAGAGCATCTGGAGCTCTGTTCCGTGGAGCCTAGCAAACTCCACGCGACTGTCCGTGTTGTCTGTGTCTGTAACCGCAACTCAAGCAAGTTTTCCAGCCTACACCACGACCATCACTGGTGTAAGTAAACAATCTTTAAATCTACCGTTAAGCATCTGTGCCTAATTCCAGCTCGTCACCCTCCCTCTCCGATCCAGCGTGCCCGGGCTGCTGGCCACAGCCCGCGTGCAGCACGGAAAAGGGCCCGGATCGCTCCCAGCCCGCACAACCTCCAGCAAGACTGCCAGTTGATTGGGTTGATCTCCAAATGCTATGGCAATTGCAGAGGGAAATTTTGTTACCCCACCTACATTTTGGGTGAAAGCAGTAATTCTTGGAAGCAGGAGTGTCATCTTTGTTCACTAGATCTTTGGCCCTGGAGATCTGGTCAATCTGATAGCACTTGCACCTCCAAAATCATTCAGAAACCTCAGCTGGAACAGACAGCAGCTTTTGCTGACTACCCTCCCAATCTTGCAAAGCAATGAATGCACATGATTAACCATTAACAAGTGGAAAAAGCAGTAGGGTACTTGAACCAGCTGCCTAGGGATGTTGTGAAATCTTCTTCACTTGAGGTTTTCAAGAAGAGTCTGGATACGTATGTGTCTGGGTTAGTATAGGAATAGTACATCCTGCATCTATAAAGGATATTGGACTAGGTAATCCCTGAGGTCACTTCCAATTCCATGACTCATGAAGTCAATACCTTGTCCTCCTTTAAAAAAATCCTTAACACTGCAGGCTATGGACATGGTCAGTGACTGACAGACCACACTGACAGGTGCAGACTATAGACCTAGAAAAAGTCTGAGTCATGAATGATGTGTATTAAAGCTGGTATACAATCAGCAATCAGTAAGCTTGCATTTAAATCATAACCATTAGCCTGGAAAGTAGAATAAGAATCTGCTTATCAAGCTACTAGTATTAAATCAGGTCAAGAAAAAATAGCGTCTTTTTGAAAACCTGCATAATGGCTGCTAAAAGTGATAACCACTGGTTTGCCTTTTGATAATAATTGAGTTGTATGTAGTCAGCTAGAATTATGCTGCAGTAATAATGTGTCTTTGTAGACCTGTTGTCAGTCCTGGCCTCTTTCAAGGGAGTTATGCTAAGCTGAAGATGTGCGGTTAGAGCAGGCTACAAAGCCTATGTAGCAGGATTCTCTAACCCCTGCTATTTAAAGACTAGAAAGGTAGCAATGGAGGGCTGCAGTGTGGTGCAGACAATTAAGCAGGGTCCAGCTGCAGAGAAATAAGTAGCACAGGAGCAGATAAAGAGAAGTGCTGGAAACAGCTACCTGAGGCAAGATACTCTGCAGTAAGCTATAAGAGCTGAGAGACTGTGTTCAGGAAGCTGGCTTTGGCCTCTGGGGGCAGTTCCCCCCAGTTTTACCATCAAGGCACAGCAGGACAAATAATAGGATGATACCCTGAGAGGCCAGAGGGAAGCAAGCAAGACAAGTGGTGCCACTAAGGGGCACTATAGCTAGCCAAGGAGACCAGGATCCTGCTGTAGCCTGTTCCAGAGAAAACTTTTGCAGATACTGGAACTGGGCTAGTTTGCAAAATAAAAAAAAAACAAAAAACCCAGAACATGGCAAGGAGCATTCCCAGATGGTAAGGGGGGAAAAATAAGTCTTCTCTTCCAGAACTGTACTTTTCATAAAAATGCAAATCCCAGCTATTTGACACCTTCCAAATCCATAGAAAATCAGGTTCAGTCCAGTTCCCAAAAGTTTCAGTTGAACAAAAAAAAAGTAACACTGTTCAGAATATTTATTTAAATAATCCATGTATAAATGACAGTATTGACAATGCTCTTTTCTCCCCTGCTTTCTACCTGTGGTAGATCAGAGCTCAGTGGTACCCAGGCATTGAGCCCTACAGACCAGATGAGTGGTGCAGTTCAGCCCATGGGTTGGATATGGTCCGTGGGCCCACTCCATTGCATGCCAGGTCAAGCCCTGGTCCCCTGGTCCATATTGTGCCTGTAGCCACAGCCCTGTGAGCCAGATGGGGTGCAGATCCCAGCCCTGGCCCTGCTCTGGATTGGGCCCTGCCCTGGCACTTACTGGATCAGACCCCCCTGTCCCTGTGCATGCCAGATGGGGCCCACTGTCCCAGTCCCATGCATGCCAGGTCAGGCCTCTTGCCCTGGCCCTGGCCCCAGACCCAGCCCTTGCCTTGGCTTTGGCCCTAGGAAAGATCTGGCCTATGGGCCAGGGATTGAACACCCTGTTATAAGCTATTTGGGGATTTGTTGTCAAATTTGTCAGGAAGCTGTGGCGTGTGAGGAGCTGCATGGATCATGTTTAAGACTCTTGACAACAAGTGTCTGTGAATGCAAGGGAGTGCACTAAAGGGCCTGAGAAGCCCCTTGCAGTCCTGCGTGTTCACATGATACCACACACAGTCTAATGAGGATAGTTGGCTCTGCCTCTCAGCAAGATGCAGCCTGGTGCTGCAGTGGGGCATTGGCTGATTTGGGACCAGTTTCCAACATTTTGGACAAAACTCCTATTTCCAGAAATGATGCCTCGGTGACACCAGGACCCAGCTACGAAATCTGGGACCATCTCAGAAGTTTTGGGCTTGCCGGTCACTTTAGAAAGAAGGAGAGGCATTCTAGGGGACCATGTCCATTTCTCTCTCCACAGCCCATGTCTGAGTGACCCTATCTGAAACCATAGCATCTTCAACACGTTGGTTCCATTAAAAGCTTCGTGTTCACATTTCCCTCAAGCTGCTCAAGGGACCTTGATCCTGCTGTAGAGCCGCTCCTCTTCCCATGCTATTCTAGACCTAGATTCCTAACCCAGCTCTGCTGATACCCTTCTATCCTGCTACAAAGCCTCTCTCAGCTCCTCCAGCCACCTACTCCAGCACAGCTTTGATCACCACCCATTTCAAACATGCCCTGCAGCCCCAATCCAGATGTCCTCGGTAGGGCTTCTTCCAGAGCTGTGTATTAATTGGTCAGGTTTGGGATGGGGGAAGAGAACAAACAAGTATTTCATGGAAATAATGAGGATTCCTCCAACCTCTGTAGCTGATAGACTTTCTTTTATCAAACAGCCCATTTATAGGAAGCCAGTATTTCCCCTTGTCAAATAGATCTGGCAGCTGGGGATTTTCAAGATCATTTGCAAGCTGCTGTTATGCCCCCCAGTGTAAAGTATCTTGGAGATGCAGAAAGATGATTAGGGCTGCTGTGTTTACAATGTTACTGTTTGGACATTCATGTAACCTCAGAGTTGTGATTTTTTTCCCCTAAATTTCCTGACTGGTATGTCCCTTTCATTGTAGTTTCACTTTAAAGTGAAAGCTAGTTGTTTATGATCAGAGAGGTGGAATGAGAGATCACTTCTTCAGTGCTGGCTCTGTGTATATATGTGTGTGTGTGTGTGTGTGTGTGTGTGTGTGTGTGCATGCACACATATGCACACAAAGCATCTGTGTCATCTCTGACAGCTTCCTGAGGGCCTCCCTCTTTTGCACTCTAGCACAGTGATTCTCAGGTAGGCAGTTACAGCACCCCAGGGTGCTGCGAGTTCCCTATGTGTACAAACACCTACACATGCTTCACAATTTAAACCCAGAGATTTAAGTATTCCACAGTGTCAAAAACATTCTGACCTGCTGTGGCCTTTCTGAGGTCTTTGCAATGAAAGCATTGCTAATTTATACTTCTGTGGTCAAGGGGTGCTTTAAGTCTAATACGTTAGAGAACCGCAGCTCTAGCAGCACTACCTTTATATGTGTTTATTTGCATGTATCTGCAATATTTCTGGCTTGATCTGAAGTGAATTGCTCTGTGTGTGTGTGTGTGTGTGTGTGTGTGTGTGTGTGTGTGTGTGCACATGTGCACATGCATGTGTGCATGGGTGCTTGTGGATGAACCTTCACTTGGGGAAAAAGGGTATATTCTTAATTTGTGTTAGATCACTCAAGGTAACAGGGATGAGAAACGCAGTAAAGATAAAAGGGTGTTACAATTTTCCCAGGAGTCAACAAGTCAGTTTCTAGACAAGGGAGGCTGGACCTGCCTGTTCCTACAAAAACAATACACCGTCTGATCTACACATGGATATTGCTGCTTATTACCTAACCAGGTAAGACCACAACCTTTTTTGTTTTTCTAATGACAGCAAGACAAAAAAAGCGTCAGGAAAGGGGGAGAAATTTTGAGTCAGTTAATATATATATCTATGCTTCTTTGTGAGTTTATGGTGTGTGTGTGTGTGTGTACCTTTATGTGTGCTTATGAGTACCTTTGTGTACCTGTGCATCTCTGTGCATGTGTGCATGAATATCTGCATGTACACATGTGTACCTGTGTGTACATGTGTTTAAGTAGCTGAGTAAACTTGTACATGTGTTTGGATGGCTCTGTGTGTGAGTACCCTTGTATTCATGAATACTTGTGTGTACCTGTGCATGTGTGCACATTTGTGTATGTGTACATGTAAGTACTCTTTTCTGTACAGGTGTGCATGAGTACAGATGTGGGTGTGCATGCATTTATCTATGTATACCTATGCGTGTGTTTGGGCATACAGTTGTATGTATGTGCACCCCTTGGTGTGTTTGTTAGTGTATGTCTGCTTGTGAGTGTCCTGTATGCCTGCCACATACTGGCAGATATTGCCAGCTGAAGCGGAGGCCAGCTAGAACAGGGATATTTGCCCTAGCGCAGAAGTTCCCAAACTTTTTCTCATCGTGTACCCCATTCCAGATTTACCAGCTGCCCACATACCCCTACCAGCATAGTTCTGTATTTTAACCCCTTAAGTGCCAATTATTACAATAGGCAGACAAGGTTCTTTGGGTGAATCTGATATCTTTTATTACACCAACTTAAATAGTTCAAAAAAATTTTTTAGCAAGCTTCCAGGTTTAAAAACCCTTCGTCAGGCTGAGGATGTCTCTGAAGTTGGTGTGTGCTTTTTCTGGATGAAATAAATAGTAAAGAAGCCAGAGGCTGTGCTGGTATGTATGCAAGACAGGCAGTCAGTGGAAGTATAAACTGAGGAGTCAGCGGGTGAGACAGGTTGGGGGAGGAGAGAAAAGGGGGATGAATGTAGCAGTTAAATAGCGGAGAGGTACCTGGGGAGTCAGATGTCAGGCAAGTTATACTGTGTCATAAATCCAATGTCTATATTTAGTCCATGATTTTTTGTATCCAGAAGGTTGATGAAATAAGGTTCATAGGCTCGTCTCTGAGAAGTGTTTTGGAAGTTCCCTTTGAGGATCAGGACTGAGAGACTGGAGAGAGAGTGGTTTTCTCGTGAGAAATGTGCCCCCACAGGTAATTGGGTATTCCTGTCTTTGTTAGATTTCCAGCGTGCGTTCATTCTGGTGCGCAGTTGTTGTTTGGTCTCTCCTATGTATGTGTGTGTGTGTGTGTGTGTGTGTGTGTGTGTGCATGCACACATATGCACACAAAGCATCTGTGTCATCTCTGACAGCTTCCTGAGGGCCTCCCTCTTTTGCACTCTAGCACAGTGATTCTCAGGTAGGCAGTTACAGCACCCCAGGGTGCTGCGAGTTCCCTATGTGTACAAACACCTACACATGCTTCACAATTTAAACCCAGAGATTTAAGTATTCCACAGTGTCAAAAACATTCTGACCTGCTGTGGCCTTTCTGAGGTCTTTGCAATGAAAGCATTGCTAATTTATACTTCTGTGGTCAAGGGGTGCTTTAAGTCTAATACGTTAGAGAACCGCAGCTCTAGCAGCACTACCTTTATATGTGTTTATTTGCATGTATCTGCAATATTTCTGGCTTGATCTGAAGTGAATTGCTCTGTGTGTGTGTGTGTGTGTGTGTGTGTGTGTGTGTGTGTGTGTGTGCACATGTGCACATGCATGTGTGCATGGGTGCTTGTGGATGAACCTTCACTTGGGGAAAAAGGGTATATTCTTAATTTGTGTTAGATCACTCAAGGTAACAGGGATGAGAAACGCAGTAAAGATAAAAGGGTGTTACAATTTTCCCAGGAGTCAACAAGTCAGTTTCTAGACAAGGGAGGCTGGACCTGCCTGTTCCTACAAAAACAATACACCGTCTGATCTACACATGGATATTGCTGCTTATTACCTAACCAGGTAAGACCACAACCTTTTTTGTTTTTCTAATGACAGCAAGACAAAAAAAGCGTCAGGAAAGGGGGAGAAATTTTGAGTCAGTTAATATATATATCTATGCTTCTTTGTGAGTTTATGGTGTGTGTGTGTGTGTGTACCTTTATGTGTGCTTATGAGTACCTTTGTGTACCTGTGCATCTCTGTGCATGTGTGCATGAATATCTGCATGTACACATGTGTACCTGTGTGTACATGTGTTTAAGTAGCTGAGTAAACTTGTACATGTGTTTGGATGGCTCTGTGTGTGAGTACCCTTGTATTCATGAATACTTGTGTGTACCTGTGCATGTGTGCACATTTGTGTATGTGTACATGTAAGTACTCTTTTCTGTACAGGTGTGCATGAGTACAGATGTGGGTGTGCATGCATTTATCTATGTATACCTATGCGTGTGTTTGGGCATACAGTTGTATGTATGTGCACCCCTTGGTGTGTTTGTTAGTGTATGTCTGCTTGTGAGTGTCCTGTATGCCTGCCACATACTGGCAGATATTGCCAGCTGAAGCGGAGGCCAGCTAGAACAGGGATATTTGCCCTAGCGCAGAAGTTCCCAAACTTTTTCTCATCGTGTACCCCATTCCAGATTTACCAGCTGCCCACATACCCCTACCAGCATAGTTCTGTATTTTAACCCCTTAAGTGCCAATTATTACAATAGGCAGACAAGGTTCTTTGGGTGAATCTGATATCTTTTATTACACCAACTTAAATAGTTCAAAAAAATTTTTTAGCAAGCTTCCAGGTTTAAAAACCCTTCGTCAGGCTGAGGATGTCTCTGAAGTTGGTGTGTGCTTTTTCTGGATGAAATAAATAGTAAAGAAGCCAGAGGCTGTGCTGGTATGTATGCAAGACAGGCAGTCAGTGGAAGTATAAACTGAGGAGTCAGCGGGTGAGACAGGTTGGGGGAGGAGAGAAAAGGGGGATGAATGTAGCAGTTAAATAGCGGAGAGGTACCTGGGGAGTCAGATGTCAGGCAAGTTATACTGTGTCATAAATCCAATGTCTATATTTAGTCCATGATTTTTTGTATCCAGAAGGTTGATGAAATAAGGTTCATAGGCTCGTCTCTGAGAAGTGTTTTGGAAGTTCCCTTTGAGGATCAGGACTGAGAGACTGGAGAGAGAGTGGTTTTCTCGTGAGAAATGTGCCCCCACAGGTAATTGGGTATTCCTGTCTTTGTTAGATTTCCAGCGTGCGTTCATTCTGGTGCGCAGTTGTTGTTTGGTCTCTCCTATGTATTTTCCATCAGGGCATTTGGTGCTCTGGATAAGATATATTACATTTCTGGAGGTGCAGCTGTAAGATGCAGGTATGCTGATGACTCTGTTGTGGGGTGTAGTAATTGTGGGGGTGGCGGGGATGTGTTGACAGGTTTTGCATTTCTTGTTATGCCATGGCCTGGATCCATTTGGTGTGTTCTGGGTCTGAAGAAGTTTGCTTCTGGTGATGAGGTTAGCAAGGTTCGGTGCTTGTTTGAAGGCTAGGATGGGTGGCTCTGGGAAGATCTCTTTAAGAATAGGGTCTCTTTCTAGTATGGGTTGCAATTGTTTGAGGATTTTCCATATGGGTTTGAGAGAGGGGTGATATGTCATAACCAGCAGTGTGCAATTCGTGGGCAGGGGGGAAAGTTCTTCTGTACTGCAGCAATTCTTCCCGTGATAGCCAGGTGGCTCTTTCAAATGTGAGATCTATCTCTCTGGAGGCGTGTCCTTGTTGAGTGAAAGCCTTTTTTAAGATTGGTGAGGTGGCAATCCCAGGTGTTGCCACCCCACCAATCTTAAAAATTCTTTCACCCAACAAGGACTTTCACCCAACACCCGGAATTGCTTTCACCTAACACCCAGGATTGCCACCTCACCAATCTTAAAAGGCTTTCACCCAACAAGGAAAACCCATGCTAATGCATAATGCCCAATAGACTGTCTACTGCACATTGTGTCACAAAAAAAGCATTCATCTGTGCTAGTGCACAGTGCTGATCATGGTACATCAAATTAGTATCTGTTATTACAGATACTAAACTTAATGCACCATTAAGTGCAAAAAATTTAGTCTCAGCTTATGCTGTTACCAGGGCCTCTGTGTTATTTGTATATGCACTGACCAATGCCTGTATTAATCCATATTTCAGCAAGGCTTACACTTCCCCTCCCTTCATTTCAGGTTAAAAAAAAAATTTTTTCATTGCAGGGGTTTTTTTTTCACCTTTTTAACTTTATTTTTAAAAAATGGTTGGAAATTTCTAAATGAAAAGTCATTTTCCATAAAAAAAAGAAAAATCAGAAAAGATCTCTTGAAAAAGCCTGTTTTGTGTAACTTGGGGTTGGCCAGTCCATGACACACATGCCACAAATGGCACAGGCAGCTACTGTATGTGGCATGCAAGCCCCAGGTGCTCAGTAAAGGGATGCAGGGAATGGAGACACAGGGACCTCTGGATACTTGAAGTGGATAATGGGTGCAGGTGCAGGAGGAGGTTTCAAGTGTCACCACCAAGAGCTCAGCTACCTCTCCAGCTGGTGCCAAATTCAGGGCTTTGGCTCCTTGCCTACCATAAAAAATGTAGTGGTTATGTGGTAAGGGAAAGACTAAGTTGGCTGATGACACCTCTCTGACACTAAAGTCCTGCCTTTGCTCTGGGCAGTCAGGGGCTCCAGCCCCTCTGCCTCAATCCTGGTGCCCCAGGGTGCAGACTATCAGGTATGACTGGGGGTGGAGGTCAGAGTGGGCTTAGCAAGGGTCCAGGCTTCACTTGTGATACAGCAGCCCATAAGGTTGACCATCACTGGTGTAACTGTTATGATTCAGTCTGAACGCACAAAATATTTCAGCATCACCAAAGCTGTGTTTTTCATCAAGGAAAAATTTCAATCCAAATAATTTCTGTTTGGTTCTCTGTGGAGTGGGATGGGGAAAGGGGACAATTTTCCTCAAAGCAAACCTGACTTTGCTTAGTCCCCTGGCTCCAGGTGCACGTATCAGAGCCCATTTTTCCAGTGGACCCAGTCACATGCCTAGGGCAGCAGCAGCAGAACCAGGTGGAGGCAAGAGGGACCCCAGCCCCCACCCCCTGGAGTCTTTGCTGCAGCAGGAACAGCTCTGCAATGCCTGACTGTAGGAGCTGGATGCAGGACATGGCAGGAGCAGTGGAGATCTTTGAGTCCACAGGGCAGGTAAGAGCCTCCTTCTCCCTCATCCTTTCTCTTCCCCTGCTCTCCAGTGCTCAATACTCCCCCTGCCTCCCCGCCGGGGAAGTTTTGCCCAGGGCACCAAATTGCTAGTTACGTCTCTAGGGGAAGCTACAAGGCACCATTAGTTGTAAGAGGGCACAAGAATAGCAGCCTCTGCCACCATGGTCCAACCTGTTACTGATGCCCAGGATACAGAAACTACTTGTTGCTTCTCTGACTGGACCCATCAACTAGCACAATTTTCAATTTGGTCCTAGCCAAGTCGCAACCTGCATGTTTCCTATGCACCCTCTACAGCAGGCCCAGGGAACAAGGATACTGTTACATACCAGCAGGCCAGACAGGAACACCCTCTTCCTTTCAGTTAGCCAAAGGCACATCCCCAGCCCTCCCCCCCCCACAACTTCACTTGCTGCTTTGCATTCAAGTTTTATAGATTTCATAGATTTAATAGACATTCGGGCTGGAAGTGACCCCAGAGGATCATCGAGTCCAGCCCCCTACCCCAGGGGCAGGAAGTCAGCAGGGATCATAGGATCCCAGCAAGATAAACATCCAAGTGTGTCTTGAAGGTGTTCAAAGTGGGTGCTTGAACCACCTCTGGCAGCAGTCTATTCCAAACCTTGAGGGCTCGAACAGTAAAGAAGTTCTTCCTTATGTCCAGCCTGAATCAGTTGAGGAGCAGTTTATGACCATTTGATCTTGTCATCTCTTGGGGCACTCTGGTGAACAGTCATTCCCCCAGATCCTGGTAAACACCCCTGATAAGCTTATAGGTGGCCACCAGATCACCCCTGAGCCTGCGCTTTTCCAGGCTGAAGTGTCCCATGGCTCCCAGCTTCTCATCATAAGGTCTGTTTTCCTGACCTCTGATCAC